CTTAAGAGTGAAATGGCGGCTCCAAAGATGTTGCAAGCCTTCAAAGGAGGAATGGGTGGATTGCAAGTTCTACCAGAACTATCTCAAGCTTGGCAGACTCTGTCATTGATTCGAAAAGCTCAGAACTGCTACTCGAGGCATGCGAATCTCATTTGAGGAAAAAAAGTTTTGAAAAAAAAGAAACTTACAAGTTAACTGCATCTCCTCCGAGCGCATTGTTGATAGATATGAGCCGCAAACCGGGGTAGATTTGCTTCATGTAGCAGCCCATGCTGAAATATGAATCGAATTTGGAATTCTTCAGTTAAAGCCCACTCTACTTACTATTTTACAGTTTTTACTTGATCATCTGGAACCCATCCATTCCATGCATCCGCCATAGCATCATACAGCCAATCCATATGGAACTTCTTTGGAGTGAAATGAGGGGCGAAGCTGAGAAAAGAGACTGAAAGTGGACAGAATTCATAAGGTTCATCTAAACTGCGATGTTTACTTGTCAATCGGTACTCCTTCATGATTTCCCACAGCAAAGTAGGTAGGGATATTAGGGAAGTACCTGAAATAAAGACAACTCGTACCATACTTACCGCATGAACCACTACTGCTGCGATAACAGAACAATATACATTTACTGCAAAATTTAACTGGTAAGAAGACATAATTTACTAGTTAACATGGCCTACATTCGGATCGTATCAGAGATGTTCTTCACCATTGCTACATGGGCATCACGGGAATAGTCCCAGACGGCATGTGAGACCAGGTCACCCGACACCATCACGTAGTCAAGCTGAAATCGAGCTACTTTCTTTCTTGTAGTATAAAGTAAAACTTCGATGTAGTGGTCAATTAAGTCGCACTTGTGAAAGGGGCTGACGAAGGCCAGCGATCTCTTGACTAGTTAAGTCAGTCGCGAGATGCTCAGGACCACCCTACAACAAACTATGGCGCTGGGGCTCGTCCAGCGCTATCACTAGTCTACGCACCCCTCAGAATACCTATCCGAAACATCATATATAAAGAGGCTTACATCTTTGTGATTCTTCTGAATGAATTGAAGCATATTAGTGAATAGCCAGTAGGGTGTGTCACAACTGCCAACCGTACCCCATGGACCAGCCGGTTTTTGAACATCGGCATTTCCTTCTACAGACACCTCCTGAAAAATAAATAAAAGGAGCGACATTTTGTTGTATAGTTCAATATCAATCTCTTTCAGACTTCACTAAGAAGGCTTCAGCTAAACCATAGTGACGCGAGTCGAGTGCGGATAAACTCTGTGATTCGTCACTTATACGCACTCCCCAATAGTAGGGAGAGTACTTGCAACTGACCAATCACAGAGTTAATTTCAAGGAGGAATTATACAAAAAATTTCCGGCAGCAAAGGATGCAAAGACATAAACATTATTATAAAACTTCATATTGCCCCCGACGAGTAATAAAAATAATTTTAACCTTTGACGAGTAAATACCTACATTTGGGTCCTGTTGAGGTCGGCAACACAGAGGCTCAGAGCATTGTGCTTCGAGCCCAGGAGTGTAGTACATATCCAAATGAATATCGGTGAGGTGTAGGGCACGTAGTGTCGGTTTCCCAGCCTACAGAACCGATTTCTCAGAAGAAAAAGTAGAAAATGTAGCATTTTCAAAGCTTCAAAGTTATCCTTTTGATTTCATGTTCATCTGAATCACATCGACTGGTTAGCATCAATGCAGAAAAACTTTTTGAGTAGGAAAAAGGTTTAGATCAGTCAATTAACATTGAAAGGGATTGTGAGTTAGTTATACAATTCGATGCAGTACAAGTTATACTTACCGGCACCGGCTGCTTGTCGACCGGGGTGGGCTGCCCGGCAGGCATCGGTACGCTCCATGTGGAGTTGAATGGATCAATGAATTGACCACAATCTGGGGAAAAGTACACTAAGTCAACTGGTATTTTATCATACTCCGCAACTCAGTATACCACTGTAATCCCAGATGTTACAGAAAAGCTCAGATGTCAATATTTAACTGGTACTGAGAATTCATTTATTTTTCGGTGATTTTTTTACTAGTACCAACTCACCGTCGAGCAGTAGACCGCAGATTTGATGCGGCTCGACGATGATTTGTCCGAGAACATAGATAAACTCGTCCTAAAAAATTTTGATTCACTACAGTATCTGTTCCGATTTAGGGTAATCTCCTCGACATTTCTTCCTATTTCCGGTTACATTTATGCCTCGTTTTTCAGCAGATTTGTAGGATCAAGTTTTATGAGCTCAAGTTCCACAAAACTTTTAACTTTTACAAATGTTATAAACATGTAAATACAAAATCAGGGACTCACGGAGAAGTCGCTAACGATTCCTTTGCAGATGAAATTGTCTTCAATTTTGAAAGTTTGGCAGATGAAAAGAGCTAGTGTGCCTGTAAAACAGGAAAGTTTTTCATATGAAGAAAAACAAGACTCCGTCACTTACCGACACATTCTTCCGTAATTTTATCACCCCAAGCGTCATGCAGAAGCTCAACGGCATATCTACACTGTTGGCATTCACTGGAAGTTGCTGCTGCTGAAAATTGAACTGATAAGACAGAATTTCAGCAGAACCTAAAATTATGCGATACAAAATATCCACAGAGTTACGTATGTTACAATATTAATTTCATTTATTCGCACTGCAATTCTCCTTGCTTTTTAATTCTATTTTAATGATTAATTTTAATTAATCTTTTATGTTTGTTCTCGAAGTTGAAAAGAATAATAGCATCAAATTCCATTGGTACTAATTGATGGGAAAGAACAGGGTGGACTCATGGTTACATCTGTGATGCTTAAGAATTACAGATAATTAGTACTTTACTGTAGTTGTTTTCTTCTGTGTGGTCCGAATTTCATCGAGCATCCGGCCACCCGGCAGTGGCACAACTTGTAAAAGTTGCTTCGTGCTCAGGCTTTGCATACCAGTACAGCGGATAAGTTATGTAGACAGCAAGCATACCTTCATTCAGAAACAGCAGAACCAGTAGAGCAAGCTGGCGCATCGCAACGGCGGGTACAAGATTTCCTATCAGCGAATTGGTCTGTAGTCTTTTGTGATAAAACCATGATCGGAAAATAAGCTGCCGTTTCGGAAGGAAAAACTGAACCCATCTGCTTACATAAGTGCAGTAATTTCCGTCCTGGACCGGAACTAAAGATGTTCTATTTCAGATGGGTCGCAAAATTGGAGCAAGCGAAGCGCTATGTATTCTATTCCTTGGACATTTTTTAAAGAAAACAGACATTATGTGATTCCTAACCTCTCAAAAGCACATCCACAACGAGTTGGCTTCAGAGATTATCCAGTGGAACGGACCGTGCCCTCTAAGTATCCCATATGGGGCGCTCTCTTGGTCAAGAAATGGATATGGGACAAGAAGAGCTCAAAAACTTGCTTCCTAGACGTCCACACCTGAGTGTGGACGTGTTTTAACGTCGTTGTAGAGGTTGCGCCATTCACAACGGGGCACACTTGCAACTAATTGTGACCAATGACGACAATGCAGTTTTGGCTCTTGTAGCTAGCTCCTTGGGCAACAGCGCAGACACAAACTCGTCCCAACACCCCTTCCACATAGCTTCTGTCATTGTGACCTCGTAAAACCCCTTATTCTATTATACTTCGCCCTTTGTTCGCCACCGATGCACTACTCGGCACCATCACTTGCTCCAGCTAACAATAGTCCCAAACAAAAGGTGCTCCAGCTAATGAAAGGATTACAAAAGCTGTTTTGGTCCGCTGTTCTGCTGATAAATTATTCTATTATACTTCGCCCTTTATTCGCCACCGATGCACTACTCGGCACCATCACTTGCTCCAGCTAATAATAGCCCCAAACAAAAGGTGCTCCATCTAATGAAAGGATTGAAAGGATTACAAAAGCTGTGTTGGTCCGCTGTTCTGCTGATAAAAGTAGTATACGCACACATCCATCCACTAAGGGCCTCATGATGATGTGCAGAGTGACTTAACCGTGGCGATAAGGTACTTTGAGTACAGTTTTATTAGG